GCTGCGCCCCAAATGCATCATCATGAAGCGGGGAAAAACTATTTCCATTGACTAGATCCACAGACATCAGCGTACAGTGTGGCGGGCCAAAGCCTGCTCTCAGTTTGTGGTGAAGGAAAAAGTTGCAAGATCAGCCATTTTTAAGTCCATTTTGGCAAAATTACACAGAAACTATGAGACAAAGTTATTAGCAACAGGTGTTTGTGAGGAAAAGCAAAGTCATGTTTTTGACTGTATGAGAAATGTGATAAAGGACTAGTTGAAACTTTCATATGTCTGTTCAATAGGAATTCAGAGCCAGAAGCTAGTTAGCTCAGCTTAGCATAAAGACTGCCAACAGAGGGAAACAGATAGCCCAGCTGTGCCTAAATTTGCCTGCTGTGGCCAAAAACAAAGCTATGAGAGTGAACCAGTAGCATAAAGCTGAGGTCTTAGCAGCGAGCTGAAACCCACCCATAATCTGTTAAGCTAAGTAGAGCTGCAGAGTCAAGTAATAAATGTTTTCTCATTGTTCTGTTTTTTAAAATAAAACTATGCGTTTTTAGCTGCTTTAAGGGTCCCATAGTGTGCCGATTTTGCAGCAAATTAATGACAGTCCTGTTCTCAGAATGTGCTTTTCAATTTTTCATCTCAAAATATTGCAAACATGGTTCATTTTCCTATGACCCCTGCTTTTAGCCCTGTTCTAACTGGCCTGTGTCAGTGTCTGCAGCTTGACTATAGCTGCTGCTGTCCACGCCCCCTTCAGGAAGAAGTATCTGCATCTGTGATTGACAGCGCAGAGCAAAGCAGCTGACACAGATGTGAATATATGAGATCAAGTCTTTCTATCACCTCCTACTTTCTCCCTGAGCAATCATATGACATGGAAATATTGTCTGATATTACAGGACAGCCATCGTCTCTAATTCATACATGGTGAGTTTGTCAGACAACGTTGTGGTTAAATAAATGAGTAGGTTAGTGGTGCAACAACAGAAACAGAAAAGTATGCAAATGAGAAGACCTGAATTCGGCTGTACTAAAATATAGTAAGTGTGAGCACAGAGAGCAGGAGAGCAGCAAACAGATGTAAACTATGCCTGGGTTTAGGTTGCATTATAGCACATGAAAACAGATCGGCCTTAAGGTTTCCAGGATGTCCTTTAGCACGACATTTTTTATTCAGTGTGTGTCTTCACTGGCTACCTGTGTAGGGTGTCACCTGCCGTCACCCTAAGTCAGCTGGGAAAGGCTCAAGCTCCCCATGTGACCCTGCTGGGAGTGCACGAAGACCTCTGTGTTCACTCTTGCTTTTATTGCTTGTGTTTGCTTGTTGCTGAGACATCTTAGAGTTAGCAGAAGCAGCTGTAGAAAGCTGATCATCATATTGGATAGCTGCTTATTGCTAATGGCTCACCTTGAATGCAGAAGACAGCAAAGCAGTATTGCATCTTCATATCCTAACAACTTATAGTTTACACCTCCTATGTTCACAACAACCACAACAATAAAAATTAATTTTAACCATATAAGACCTGTTGTTAGTCCTCTTATCTGTCATTGAGCAAGAAAGCAAATAAAACTACTTAAAACTAGCTAAGTTGACTGTCAAGTGGTTAGTTTTGTGTTTGAGAGGCAGACAAACTGCCTCCCAGCCTGTAGCCTGCTCTAATCTCTTTATGGGCCTGGATCTGGTCCGGTGAGCTCGGCCCCGCTGACTGAAATAATGGCTGTAGTCTGGTGAGGATAATGAAAGGGAAAGATGACGGTGTGTGAACTTAATACCTTCTACCTCTTGCTGTTGTACTCAGTGACGCCTTGGATCTGCCTGTGTAATTTAGTTTATTTAGCTGTGGTAGCCTTGATATTAGGCTGCTGATTAACAGCATTTTATTTGATTACATTATTGATTTATTTATGAAGATGGAAGGAGGAGAGAGGAAGCGAGTGGTGCCCCAAGAGAGGCTGAGACGCCAGATAAGGAGCGAGAGAGCGAGCGAAACTAGCTGGCTAGCTGGTTGACACTTGATCAGCAGCAGGAATGAATATTTCACTGGTCACAAGACTGACACTCCAGCAGCAGCAGCATCCATCTCTCGCAGACAAACCGACTGTGTTTACGTCTGCGAGTGTGTGTGTGTATGCTCATGTGAATGCATGTGCACATTATATTATTTGTGTTTTGTTAGTCAGAGGGTATGTTGTTTTGTCTTGTTCTGCGCTGCTGAGAGTCTGTTTATGCCTCTACTGCTGAATAATTTACAGGACGGTGAATTAGAGACGTATCTAATGCTGCCAGGAGAAGGTGTTGAGTGGATAGGAGCAGGAATTTGACAGACTGAATCATTTAAAACGTGGGCTGCCAAATCACAAAGCAATGTTCACCGGACAGAGTTTCTTTCATGCCGTAGCTGCTGCCAGACAGTGCACCTTGCTATGTCTCCTGGTAGCTTTCCGTCACTGAAGAGTCTGACCATCAGAACAAAAAACCTTTTGTCTGCCCGAGACTATCCAGTTACTGAGAGGCTCCATAATCATACATCACTATTTTATAATTGCTAACGATGCAAATTGTCATCTTCTGGCTTCGTATGTAGTCATACAGCAGCCTGCTTATGGTCTTCTTCTTGAACTTGTTGACCTTACATTGCTGTGTGTATGCACTTCTTATAAAAAGTGGGCTTCATTTTTAGGGTATTTTGGATTTTTCAAGGTTTTCTACGACCCTGCTGAGAGAATTTCGATTGTAGCACAACTTGTTAAGACTAATATTTAGCAAAGTCATCCTTTTGTTCCCCTGTGTCTTTATTTCGACAAGACTTTCAAAGTAAACAATGCAAGCAATTCTTTTCTTTTTATACTTATTGTGTGCTTATTTTTGGCGTGTGTCCTTTATTTTACCTGTTTATAGGAGCTGGGTGTTGAGCTTTACTGCTTTGTGACTGCTGACCACAAGCTGTTTTTTCCCCCTCAAATCAGGAACTACTAAACCTATTATGACTTATTATACGTTAGGTTCAAGTGCATCTGCCTGTGAGAAAGCAGCATTACCTACTGATGTGTTTATGAAGTTAGCTGCTTTTATTAAATAAAGGAAAAGGTACTGTTGGATAAATGGTTTATATTAAAAACAATGTAGAGCCAAACTGATATCCGATAGAGTACAATGTTTGCTTATCACTAATATATATGTGTACTGGTCCATATGTCAGCAAACAAGAAATGGTAAACATTCTTTTCAAAACTGTGAACTACCATGTTCAGTATGTACTGGAGTAATCAGGGGTGTCATGGTATATAGGTATTGAGCATAGCTGTGATATTTACAAAATAAAATATATCTCCTTGCACCTATATTTGCAAAAAAAAAAAAAAGAGAGAGATAAAAGACACAATTACCAAAGTTAAAATTACTTTGACTGACAGCAATAATATTTATATTTTTGCTTTTCTATAGATATCGTGATAACATCATTATCATGATTTTTTTGGGCCAAAAGAATCATGTACTGAAAATCTGACATCATGACAGCTCTCAATCTGAATTTAGTGATTCTCAATTTTTACGTTTTTTTTATTTTTATTTATTGTACATAGGTTTGAGAACATGCAGACATATTTCACATTATCACATTTTTTAACCATTAAACCCTTTCTAGCCCCTAAATATAAATGCCTGAGACTTTAAAAATACAATTTTGGTCAAGCTATAGTTTCTCTTATGTCTGTGCAGAAAATGATTCCCAGTCCTTGCTGTTCTTACATTAGCCACAGTTCCACACATTCCTGACGGTGTACATGTAGGTTATCAGAGCAGTGAAGTACAAAAACTCCAGTCTGTTGTCTAAAAGTTGTGGCATTGATAATCACACATTACTCAGAGGGTAACCTGTGTGTGGGGTTTGATCCGCCCCATTAACACATAGGCACTGTTGGTATGTGAGAGATCAGCTAAATGACAAAGTTAAACCGACCTATATTGTATATGTGTGTCTAAAAGCGACTTAGCCCTTGTTGTTTTTATAATTTTATATAAACTGCTAGCCACAGTGTAGCCTTTCTGTAGTGCTTTACCTATTGAATGTAATTGTTTCACTCCATTGCTGTAACTATAATGTAGACTAAGATCAGGAATGCATACGGTCAAGGCTGTGTGCCTCTCGGCAGACAGAGAATGTGAAATCAATACTATCCCCTGTTTTTAAGAGATTCCATTAGACTGGTCTGCAGAGACTCATCACTCAATAAGCCATCTAAGTATCTGGCCACTCTGCTAACTATTAACCAATAGTTAAACTGCAAAGAGGGGCTAAAAACACTTGGGTCATGGACATCATGTTTGCATGTTCGTGTCTCTTTACTTAAGCAAATAGACTAACCTGACAGAATCATTACAACAACACACCGAGGTTAGAAATATCAATATTGGCTTCTAGTTAAGGATGACTTTGGTACCTTTTCCTCTGCAGTGTGAGGCTCGAGTACATTTGCAGCATAAACTCTATCCTGAGCTACAACATATATTGTTAGGCCAAGGCCTGTTTGCTCTCTGTTTCTGCCTTTAAGTCGTCTATATGTGAGCTTAGGAGGCTTTTTCATTATTTAAACTCAACTCGCTATCCGATTGGGCAGTAACTGTGGAAACAAAGCAAATACAAGTACTCAGGAAACCTCAAGCAGGAGAGAAATAGTTATCGAAACTCTGTTGACCAATATGATTTGAACAGCAGTGTATAACCCTAAAGTAAGTGCACATTTCTGAGTGTGCTATTAAAAAGTGAGGGTTTGTTTTTAAATATGATTCACTCTCAAATGAATGGTTGGCTTGTAACAAAGCTGCTATTAGGAAACATATTGCCTTATATCTATTTTTAAAAACATGCATTTGAAGATGTGATGAGAGTGTGGTGGAATCCAACACACCAAAAGCCTGACTGTTGGTTTGTTTGGCTGGCCTGTCGGTCTGCCAACAGCCTATTTCTATAAATATCTCACAGCGTTTCTCCTGTGTGTCGCAGGTTTGCTAAGAACCTGTCGCCGGACAAGATCAACCTGAGCACGCTGAAGGGGGAGGGCCAGCTCACCAACCTGGAGCTGGATGAGGAGGTTCTCCAGAGCCTGCTGGACCTGCCCACCTGGCTCGCCATCAACCGCGTGGGCTGCAACAAGGCCGCCATCAGGGTGAGGGTCACTGTCTGTCACTGTACGGGAAATATTAAGCTGCAGCCAGCAGCCTGGATAAGCATACAGACTGGGCTCAAAAGCTGCTGTCTTTGTTTATTCCATACAAAAATTCAAGCGTAAAAACAACATATGGTTTAATGGAATGCTATGCGCTTCATAACCAGGCAGATTATCTTCCTTGAGTGTCTGCTGTTTTCAGTCTTGATGCTAAGCTAGCAATCTGCTGGGAGTAGCTTCACATTCACACAGATATGAGAGTGGTAAATGTTGAACATGTTAAAACCAGAGCAAAGATGTCAGATTTAGTTGATAAAATCATACTGAAAATTATATACAAAGCAGATTTTACATGGTTTTCTTTCAGGCCTTATGTAAAACCATAGAATACTGCTTAACTGCCCGCTGTATACATACAAACACTTTGTACAGGTGTGTGCAGGCAAACCTGTCAGTGACTATTTGCAGTGCACATGCTCTCTGTGCTGTAGCCCCGATCACCAGCCGAGTGTCACGTCCAAGCGCAGACTTTGACACACCCTGGAAACAGTGAATGGAGCCGTATATAATTTTTCTTCGTGACTGGACTTTCATTCCGATCAAGGTCCACTTTCCACCTCTGCTTTTCCTCCTCTGCCTCATTACTTTCTCTCTGTCCTTGGTGTGTTAACTCCTCAGCCCTTGACATAAATTCTCAACCTCTTCTTTATGCACCCACGTTGAGCTCTCTTTTCATTGGGTCAGTTCCAGCCTGAATACCTCTGTAAACACTGACTGTGTGTCCTTGTTTGCTGACTTTATCTTGATTATTCTACAAACTTTGCCAATGCAGCCTCTTGTGTTGACTTTACTTATGAGCTGCGTCAATGACAGTGTGTGTAACACTAAAGCAGTGTCGCACCTAAAATAATCACATTATTTACATTTAGGTGTTCTGAGTGATTTCTGAACAGAACTGGTGACACCTTTTTTGCTGCCTCGATACAACTTACAGTGTATTTAGCTGTTTTACTGGTTTAAAAAAAAAAAAGAGAACACAGATGTGTATCTCACTTCCTCACTTGTTAGACCTCTTTTCTGTATCTTCCTGTTACAGAAGTGATAAACGCAATACTCTCACCTCCTCGGTCTAACACACTCATTAAAGGAAATACAAATTACTACATCGATTGGCCTGGTTTTATAAAATCTATACGTACGTACATTGCTGTAAATATTTCTGCTTTAGTGACAGACAAGAGGTAGCACCCACCACGGGCAGTTCCTACCGTTTCTACGACCAGAGGCAAAGCAAATTAAATGGGTCGAATTCCATTAGAGCTGCAAATCCTGAACGTTTCTCACTTCTTGATTTATGACGTCTCAAAGAACACGGCGCTCTGTGGGAAAAAAAAAAACTGCAAATGAGCGTAAGCATTTAATCTCTTTTACTATGTAATTTGACATGAATAAAAAGGCTGCATGTTCAGGATTAATGGAGCTCTGGAGCTGAATGAATGAGCTGCCACTCAGTCTAGACTCATTGATTTCCTTCTCTTCCTTTCTACCTTTCCTGCCGTTTTGACTTTATTTAATTTTGGCCAGTTTAGTTGAATTTAATTCGATTTCTACATCCCATTCACTGGTAATCCAGTTTTTGGAGAGCCACAATGCTAAATGGTTGCTGTAAAGATCAGAATGCTGAGGATGTAAGCTAAGCTTCTGTTCTGTTTTCACTGGCAGATACCATGGACGAAGCTGAAGACTCACCCCATCTCTTTGGTAAGCTTCCATTCCACCGCTGTTTTTTTACACGATCAGAAACTCTCCTTCATAATTTACTTATAATCTATCAGATGACGCAAACCACTGAAGGTGTCGTCGTAAAACAACCTGTTTGCATACAGCTTCACAATCTATCCTGGCTGTTGTTAGTAACTGTGACCCAGGTAGAAACCACTCTCTGGCTGTTCATCATCAGAGGTACCAGCGAGTAGCAGCGCATCCCTCGGACCATGGAGGTGGGCTTGAAGCCACTTCTGATGTTAGAGAAGAGACTGATATTTCAGCTTGTTCAATCAGACCCACTTAGTTTCCTACATGAAGCCCACCTTTGAAGCACTTGTGGCTGTGATGCCTTCAAGTGTCTTCAGCTGCTTGTCCTGAGCTGACTTTATCTTCCTCACCGCCTCGTCGTGCCTTTTCTAGGACTGCAGGTTGGCTCAGACGGTGGCCATTTTCTGCACACACCTCACTGAGCTGGGCGCAGGTGTCAAGTTGACATACTGCCAGCCTGGTCCTTGTCCCCTGGTAGCTGGAATTCCCAGCTCACAGGCTGCTGGAAAACAGCAATAGCAGGAGGGACAGATGCTCCATCTCAAACACTTGTCTCCTCATTTATACTTTCAGCACCCTGTGTTATGTGGTATTTTTCGCACGCTGTCTTGATTAATCTATTACACAGGATGTGGCAACAAAGAATCTCAATGGAACACACAGCATTATGTATTGAATATTTAACCACGATTGTTATAGTATTGTGTTAGACAGTAGCACAGGAGTGCCTTGTTGAATGGACTATCAGCCTCCATTCTGTAGAACACAATAATATCTCAGTGTCAAAAGTAGCAGGGCTTTTGAACTACAATATTATGAAATGGTGTGAAAGTGGAGAGAGCATACGATAACATGGCGACTGCCTGAATGTGCTATGTACACAATAAAAGTCCTGTTGCGTCACGACTTTTATTAATTGGAGAATAGCAACAGCATAATGTGCAGAGTTTCAAGGATTTTTATCTTGTTACACAGGCTGCGGCTTGTGTGTACCGTGAACAATATGTAGGCAGCTTCCTGTCTCCATGCTCCGTCAACCTTTTTGTTGCTTATCTGGGTCACGGTAGCTGAGCATACGACAACACATTTCTTTTACGTTTACTTGGATCAGTTGACTGCAACTGCACATTATAGCCTTTTATAGTCAAAAGTCTTCTTCGCGTTAGTGCAACCTGATGACCTCGTGATTAAGAAATGCATTCATCTAATCATCTTTTAAGATTTTACACTTCTGATGGATTTGAGTTTGCTCGTTCTCTGAATGGATCTTCATGAGCTTCAAAATGCCGCCTTTACTTTGATTTACAATTGCCAACACAGCCTTTATAAACTCTCGGGCTGGAAAAGGTGCAGAGAAAACAAACTTTTGCAGAGTCTGACTAAAACTATTGAATACACTCGTCCCTCTGCTATGAATCTGCACGTCCAGTAGATTTGCTCAAGATTAAGGTCACACACAACCTTCGCAATTATTACAACCTGTTAGAGATCCCCAGGTAATAGTAGACTCATGTGTATATTGCCTTAGAATGAGAAAATCCCTAGAATAAATTGCCAAACTTAAGCAAACCTCTCAAAAAATGTGTCGACCTAATACAGAATTATAGAAGACTATAACTTCCTAATGGCGCTGCTTGTTGGTTGTGAAACTAAGCCCTTGACTTGCTTTTTCTTGCAGACTCTGGATAAAGTGGTGATGGAGATGAGCACCTGTGATGAGCCCCGTCCTCCCAATGGCCCGTCTCCCATAGCAACAGCATCAGGACAAAGGTGAGCTTTGGGCTGTTTTTTTTTTTTTTCACTCTTAGGACTGGACACAGAAAAAACACCTATCTTGTTTGTTTAGTTAATGCAAAACGTGAAGAGCAACAGCACCTGGTGTTATGGGGAGTTGTGCTAGACTATTTATCGACCAGGCACATGCACTGTTTGCAGCTTGGATGCTAAGCTAGTGTAATTCCCAAAATACTGAACCGAAGTACAGAGAGAGGTTTTATTTTACCAAAACACATTTAAATTTGGCTGCTTTTTTGCTTTAATTCCTCCACATGTGATCAATAAAGCTACTCTTAAAAAAGTATGAAGTAAAATATAAGGTTCATGTTTTACATCATCTGTGGGGCCTTCATTGTTCTCTCTTTTTTTGTAGTTGTATTTCTTTTAAAGAAGTGTTGATATTTCAACCTGGGCCACCATGTGCAGCACTCACCTGTTGCTCGTCACTTCTTATCACCTCATTTACCTTTGTCTCTTTACCCCCTCATCTTCCTGTTTTCCACATATACAGTGAGTATGGCTTTGCTGAGAAGGTGGTAGAGGGGATTTCCCTTTCCATCAACTCCATCGTCATCAGGATCAGTGCCAAGGCCTTCAACGCCTCCTTCGAGCTCTCTCAGCTGCAGGTCTACAGCGTCAACACCAGCTGGAGCATGAGTGACCTGCGATTCACTCGCATCCAGGATCCTCAGAGAGGAGAGGTCTGTATGGGCTTTCTTAAAGAAACAGAGGCTTTTGTTTACTGTTTTTCACGCAATATTCGAATTGGTTACCCTCTTCTGTTTGATCCAGATCCTCACATTTAAAGAGATCAGCTGGCAGATGATTCGTATTGAGGCTGACGCTATCCAAAGCGCAGAGCACGAGATGTTGAGCGCCCCCATCCGCCTCATCACTAACCAGTCCAAGATCAGAGTCACTCTCAAGAGACGGGTGAGACACACACACACACACACACACACACACACACACACACACACACACACACACACACACACACACACCACTAAATAGAATCTGACATTCACTTTATGAAATTTGATGGACCCGACTTGAAACACAGACTGCTCTAAGCAACATCCTCTCGTCTGCTGTGAACAATGATCCCTCTGTGTGGCCTCACAGGCTGCAGGGCCAGGAGCACTGCTTCATCAAACAGCCAGTGTTTATTTCAATAAAAATGACAACCAAAGTGTTGGAGATTTAATATAATCTGTAAGTGGTAATGTAATTTCCCCCTTTACTTAATGAAGTTTTTTTATTGGAGGAAACTGATTTTCTCCCAAATGTTGTCTCTGCAGTTTTACGTATTGTAACAAAAATAGTATACTGTGTGTAAAATGACTTTAAAAAACTTTGAGTGTGTGCTTCCAGTGTTGGATCGTAGAGCTTAGTGCAGTCCCAGTGAGTTCAGTTTGTACCTACCGGTTCTGAACAAAGACCTCCAACAATAAGAAAATATCACTTCAAGTGTCGTGTTACGTTACTGGAAGGTGTCAGGCAACCTCCACCTGCATATTGCATGTTTATAACAAGGCCTCTATCTGGTACAGATTAAGGACTGTAACGTGGTGGCCTCCAAACTGATCCTGGTCTTGGACGACCTGCTGTGGGTGCTGACCGACTCCCAGCTCAAAGCTATGGTGCAGTATGCAAAGTCCCTCAGCGAGGCTATGGAGAAGTCTGCACAGCAGAGGAAGAGCATGGCCACAGAAGATCAGGTGCAGAGATACACTCATTTCATCCACATGTAGAAGACTAATTACATTTTCTCAGCTTCTTTCACACCCTGGAAAAATGTTAATGTTTTTCTTTCTCCTTTTCCCATTTTTAACATTTCCCCATCCTCCTCCCTGTTCATGCCCTAATTCCACCCTCTGTGCATGAGCTATGGTCTGACAGTTTGTCCTTGTGTTCATGAAAGTCATGTCTGCCCTCCTCTGCATCGCTCCCCTGATGCCATATGGTGTCTGTCTGCCTACACCATCTCTGTCTCTCATTGCTGTCGTCACCATCTTTCAGTCTGTGCCCTATTTCCTTGTCATTCAAACACACACAAAATGTACAGACATTCATCGCCCACACAAGTTCACACCTTTCCATGTCCCAGCAGACTTCCTGCACAGTAATCATTCAGTTTTCTGTAATTTGGTCCGACATGCCATCTGGTGGAAGAATCGAGTACTGCATAGCTCAGCTGTTCTTGAACCAGATAGCGTTTCTGACAGGCTGTTGTTTCTCAAGGCCAATAAATAGAAGAGAAAACAAAACAGAAACCTCTTCAGCAACAATAATGCAGAGGCTGAACATAGCAACAAAGCCTGGAAAACATGAATCCTTCCATCAACCAAACCAATACATCAGGGCTAAAAACGTCATCTGTGTGCACCAGGTGTCGTCAGCGCCCCCCTCGGCCCAGCAGGTGCGCACCCAACAGGCGTCCACAGCCGCTGACCAGAGCGCAACCATGGCCAAGCTGTTCAGCGCCTATGATGTGTGTGAGACGTCCCACCATCTTCAGATCACACACCTTGACCTGCACATCTGTGACGACATTCACGCGAAGGACAAAGGTAACGAATACAAACTTAATCATACTTTACATTGCAGTGTACGTATTCTTTATTGTGCAGAAACACAACGTGACTCTTAGATCTTATACAGGCCTACTTAAATCTTGCATTTTATTTGTCAAGCCACAGGGATAGGTACACAAAGATGATTTTGTTGACTTTGTTTTTCTTCCTGCTGTGCAGTTGTCAATAAGCGGATAACAGGTGGAGCCATGCAGCTGTCCTTTAGCTCCATCACTCTGGACTACTACCCTTTCCACAGAGCAGGTATGAATCGTGCAACTAGAATCAACGTTGTTACCTTCTTAGTGTAATTGTCCAACATCTCCCAAAAAGATGTACTATCATGCGACATTATTGAGTTAGCAGGTATGTTGAGCCTATAGCTTCAAGAGTTTTCAGTGTCATGATGGTAGCTTTCTTTTAACCTGCAAGATCACCATGGTAACTGATTCTGCACAGCTAAATGGCTCCTCTGGCGCAAAAAACAACAACAAAACTCTAAAAAACTAATTGGATTTTTGGTTTTAATTTGGGTTTTTTGAGGCGGTTCTTTTTCCCCGTTTTTTTTTTTGACCGGTTTTTTTTTGGGGGCTCCGGGTTTTCGTTTGTGGGAGGTTTTTTTTTTTGCAACCTGTTGAGCTGAATGTCAGTAATGCCACAAAGCTGTGCAGTTGCTGTAGGTAAACCTTAGGCATTGTGTAGACAGAGGAACCTGCATGCATGCAGTTGGTAATGCAGAAAAAGTTTAAATATGTATTTATATGTGGCCCAGATTTGAAAATTAATTAGTCTCATAACATCTATTTCCAAATCATGTAGCTGGCAACTGTTTGCAATTTAAAGGAATAGATTGCTGTTTTGGAAAATATGCTTATTCAGTTTGCTAATTCAGTTGAATTAATTTCATCATAAAGGGTTTTGTGAAAGTTTTAAGAAACAATATCGTCAAAGCATCAAAATACAATTTGTCTTAAATGCATGAACACACAGCAAGATGAAAACGGCATTCAGAAGCCCATGTGAATGAGAGAAAAAAGCGTCAATGTTACCTCTCAGAACTATCACGCCTGATGAGGTTTAGGAATGAGATTCAGGTTACTGTACAACACTTTCACAACATGTTTGTTCTTCTCCATTTCCTGGGTTACCAGGGTGACGAAACACGTGTAGGACATCGCAAACCAGCAGGAAAGACATTTCCCTCATCCCCTATACGAACATGTTTTTTTAGAGAAAGGGCTGCCATGTTCGATTTCTGTTTTTTTTTTCTTCTGATTTTTGGTCTTTTTTGAGATGACCTATGTTGAACTTGCTTTGTAGTACATTATTCTGATGTTGTCTGTTCTTTCTCCCTGTGCTGTTTCTGTTGGTGTCTCTCCTCTGATCATTAGGATTTACTAAAACAATGCAAACTGTAGTCACCAAAATGGAACACAAAGGCATTTAGAATAAGTTTTAATTGCAGGTATTGCAAGTATTGCGATGAAAATATATATAAGTATAAACTAAAAACAGAGATAAACAAAATGAAACACAAGTACAAAGACTTGGTGCACACTGACAACAGCAGAACCATATTTAGTTAACATGAAAATGGATGAACAACTGCTTGTACTCATTTTTAGTCCTTGCCAATCTCCTCAGGTGACAGTTGTGCCCACTGGATGCACTACAGCGAAGCCACTAAAACCAGAGAGGGCTGGGCGAGGAACCTGCTGGATGAGTTCAAGTCCAACGTGGAGATGTTAAAGGGTGCAGTTCGAGACCAGCAAGCCCCGGCTCCTGCACACAGTTCCCCACAGCATGGTAAACAACGGTTCACTGAAACATACTGCTACTCAACTTGTTCTGGGTGTGCATTTTTGTTGCTGGAACCCACAGCACATCATCCCTGTGGGTTTTCTGTCCTCCAGTGACCCTTAGGGACGATGTGTATGGGCCTCTAGGAAGTCAGGAGAGAGCAGGAGGAGAAGGAGTAGGGCTTAGTGAGGCAGATGGAGGACTCCTAGAGTGGAGCCCACACACTCAGCCTCCGGCCCAGTGCTGCTGGTGCCTAGAGCCAGGTACCACGGTGTGTGTGCGCACAGCTGGGTGCGGTGATGCACACCTTTTGCTAGGAACAGTGGTTTCTTATTGAAGAACTGAGTGGCTGCACTGTTTGTCTCCCTCTATGTCGCCATTTCTATCTTTCTGCTCCCTTATACATCTCCATCTTTGTCTCCAGGTAAGATAAGCACCTCGTCCAGCTCTGCCTTCAGTCCTCCTCCCCCTTCAACCCACAAGACCCAGCTCATGTCCAGCTCGGTTGTTCTCAGGATGGCGGACTTCAGCATCTACCAGGTCGCTACAACAAATCCTCACTTGCTCACAAACTCTCGTATACCGAATCACCCTTCTCTCTACTAACTTTGGGTTTTTCTGTTTTCATTTTAAATGTCTTTCAGGTTTCAACAGCAGACCAGCGTCGCTCCAGCCCCAAGGCCATGATCTCCTGCAATAAGAAGTCCTTGTACCTCCCCCCGGAGATGCCCGCCATCCATGTCGAGTTCACAGAATACTACTTTCCTGATGGAAAAGACTATCCAAGTAAGATTTCCTTGCCTTACGTCTCATTTTAGAAACATTAATCCTTATTAGTAGGTCAGAAGCTGTGCAAATAACATTTTTTGTACACTAGGCGCACTGTTTTGGCAGAGATTCTCTGTCTCGCACGTCCCTTTTGGATCTATGCAGCCCCATTCATTCAGTTGTGGGGGAAGTCATTGACTGCTGTGCGGCTGAGAGACCATTGATTTTTCTGAATTACGCCCAGTGCTCTGAATGAGGGATCACCCAATTAAATCATTTATGGATTTCTTACACATTCAGTCCATTAGAAAACATTAGAAGAGCAGTTAAAGGTTTTTCATTTCTAGCTGATGAATGTGCGACTAAGACAAGATTATTTTGCCAATTAAAACATGTGTACACATTGCCATACAGTACTTTTCTTCTCTGTTGTCTCATTCATTTATTTCTCCATTTTTTCTAAACATTATGTAACATGATACTGCTTCCACCTTTTCCCTTTCCTCCTGCTTCTGCAGTCCCGTGCCCCAACCTGTATGCCCAGCTCAATGCCCTGCAGCTGGTTCTAGATCCTCGCAGCCTGGTGTGGCTCAACCTCTTTGCCCTCGACCTCAGGCAGAGTCTGGAGCAATTCATGGAGATTTATAAGCTTAACGACTCGCAGAAACCCGATGAACATGTCGACGTCAAGGTTGACGGCCTCATGCTCAAGGTAAGGAGGACTGATACATGACCTGTTTATTTCAGTTTTGTAGCATGTAGTGTATTTTCTGTTATTTATGTCTGTTTCTTGGTTTTTACTCTCCAATAGCTGGTGATTCCCACTGACCGGGACGCCTCCTGCCCCCCCGACCTGCCTCGCTCCATCTCAGTACAGACTTCAGAAATGGTGGCCACCAACACCCGGCATCCTGCCAACTGCACCCGCTCTCACCTTGAGGCTCTGCTGCAGGCCTTCGAAGAGGAGCCCTTCTTCTCTTCATCTTTCTCCTCATTCCCTCGCTCCTCCTCCTCCTTACCCATCCTCCATCCTGTCTTCCAGCGACACGCCCACGAACAAGACACCAGGCTGCACGACATCTACCGGGGCCTGGTGCAGCCGACGATGGGCACAGACTCTCTCAAAATGCCGGCCGCCACTGACTTTTGGGCGCTGCACTTTGCCCAGTTTTGGGTGGACTATGAAGGTACCCGTGGAGGTAAAGGGCGGCCGCAGCCCTTTGTCGACTCCTTCCCTCTCACTGTGTGGGCCTGTCAGCCATCGAAGCTTGTCCAGCATCAGGAGAAGCTGAGAAACGCTGCGGGATCAGGACTGTCCAGGAGCACGTCGGGGGAGGCCGTCGCACGTTTGCAGAGGAAACGATTGTTAAAGGAGTACTACAGCTCTGACGGTGCACAGACATCATCTCAGAGCGGTGACTCACCACTGCCACCCAGTAACGGACTCCATAAACCCCACTCGCTGGACAGCCTGCCCTCTTCATCCTCTTCTTTGTCATCATCACAGAAAGATCCAGATGTACATGTGTTGGTGCATGTGCAGAAGCCTTTAAGCGCTCAGGTATTTTTATTGTTAGTCTGTTGTTTTTCATAACCACACAGCTTGTTGTCCAGAGAAGCTTGGGTGCATTACTCTATAAATCACGTATGAATTCTGAGTTATATGACACCACACTGCTTATGGCCAAAAAAAGGTTTCACACACAACTCCCTGTAAAATCACAACTTGTCATTTTTAGTTTATACGTGTGTGGATTACAAATGACATGTAACTTGATCAGTTGTTAACTTTAGAGGAGCTGGCGGGCACTGTTCTCTTTCTTTGCATTTGCATTTAGGTTAGCTGTTTACCCCAGTTTCTAGTTGTAATGCTACGCTAAACTTTCTCCTGGCTCCAGCTACATATTTAACTGACAAATATGAGAAGTGTAATAATGAGACATCAGCGTATCTCTGAAAAAATTCTTTATTGAAAGTATTTTTGGAATTATTTATACCATCACTGAGTGAATGGTGCAATTCATTACAAGGTCACACATGGCGATTTGCCCAGAATATCAGTGCTTACTGTCACCTGTATTGCAGAAATGATTAGATGATGAAGCGACTGCTTGATAGTCAGGATTTATAAATCCACAAAAAACCCGACACTATTCTTCCATCTTCCAAAGTATTATCATTTGCAGATTTTTCTTTATTTTATGTTGTTTATTGAATGTCTTTAATTTTAATTTCAATCATAGAAAGGGAAAAAAATGAATACCTTGCTGATAATGAAGGTAATCCTCAGTTTTTCTGTTGTTCCACATGGAAGTTGGTTTAAAGCTTTACAAAGTCAAACACCAAAGCAGAACCATTCATTATTAGAACAGCTAAAAAACAAGAAACAGATTAAAATAAGCATAATTTCGGAAGTTATCAAAAAAACAAACAAACAAAAAACAATATCATATGGTAGATACAAACTAATGTTTCAGTGGGTATCATTAGTAAATAAAACTAGCTGACAGTTTTTTAGCACTGCAGCCCCAGTTTGGTTTACTACATCCTACTCATTATAAAATTAGTTATTAATCGCCATATGCTTTGATAACGGCTTTGGTCTTTGTGTTTAGGTGAGCCATCGGCAGTATGTGTTTCTGATGCATCTTCAGCGCAGCATCAAAGCCCTGCAGCAGACACTACAGCAGGATCTGGAGAAGATGAGCTCCAAGAGAGACCGTAAGGATCACCGTCCTGAAGATCACCAGCCCTTCACCGCCTGCCTGGGCCTCTTGCTCAAAAGCGCAGAGGTGTCCCTGCTCCTGAAGCCTGTTCCTCGGCCCGAGGGTTCGGGATCTCCTCTAGGCTCAGAGCTTTCACCGTCAGAGAGTCGTGGAACTCTGGAGCCTGCGGGTGATGCTGCAGAGGTGGCGGAGAAGAGCAACGAAGGGTCTGGCTCAGAGGGAGGAGCAGCCAAGCGGTCTTGCACAGTCGACCAGCTGTTATGTGGTGAAGGGTCGGAGGGTCCCGCCCCCCTCGTCCCCACTTCAACTACACGTACTGACTCAAATCACAAAGCCTCAGTGGAGGAGAGGACTTCAGCTAAGAACTCTGGGAGGGGAAGTTCAGATGAAGGGGGCGATGTGATGGTGGATGGGTTGGCAGGCGATGAAATGGGAGCCAATTTGAGTGACCCTCTGTCCGACCCACTCAACAGCAAAGAGTGGAGCGACAAAGACAAGGCTGCAGGCGGGAAGATGCCTCAGTCAATATCCAGGTATTCTTTTAGTCTCCCGTTAATTCCCGTCACGGCGTCATTACTTTCGAGTGAAGTCAGCGATGTGCTGATTCAACATTAATGCGTCACTGAGATAAGTCCGTAATCAGCCCAATATCACAGATTTGCACACGAGGGATTACTTTTCCAGGATGGTCCAGCTTGTGGTAAATGGAGTGTAAAGAACATTAATTCATTGTGAAATCAGTGCTGACACCAACGGATCAACAACAAAAAACTAATTTCTGTATCAATCAAAACATCTCCTGATTATTGTCAGTTAATAGTTTAATTTATTAAATGCTAAAAGCAGGGAGAAGTGGCTTTGTTAATGTCCACGGTAATGGTGTAAAATAACTTGTTTTGTCTGATGAAAAGCCTAAAATCCAAATTTACTGCTGACAGGGAAAAGTATTTAATCCTCTTACTTTGTGAAGCTACAATAGAGGCATGTACAAACAGCTGAAATGACCAATCATCTAAACATACGGACATTAACACAGTGACTAATACTCTTTATATTAATAATGGAAACTAATGGGGTCATTGTTTGTCAACTTAACAGCAGTGTGCATGTATATTAATAACTAACTAGCAACTTACCAAGAAGACACCACTTGACTCCGCACCACCGTCTGTTTTAATGTTGATGCATATTGGACAACATAGACACCAACACGGATGTGTTTGTAAAAGGCCAGGACTGGACGGGCTTTAATGCTAAATAATTTGTTTGTCAAAAAACGAATTGATGAGTTGTCTTATCTTTGAAGCTCTAAAGTCTGAAGCTATAAGCACCCTTCAGAGTAGTTTATTCTTTACGAATAAATCCTTAAAGGTTTTAGCGAACAGAAAGTTAATTGACATTGACATTTCATTCATCAGTTAATCTTTTATTATGTAAAAATACCAAACAGGCTTTTCTCAGTCTGGTTTTATAGCATTGTAATGAAACCAAACGTTATTGAAATGATATGTCATTGTTAGTAAAAGCTCAGGCTATTATATGTCAGTTTTCAGATTTGTAACTGCCCCTGACAGCATTTTTCAGATTGCCCTCTGTGTTTCACTGTCATTAACCTCCTTCTCTTGCTAATTTAGTCTGTCTATTCCTGAACACAAGAGCTGTGTGTTGAACTTCCACATGAGTGTTTGTCAGTATGAATGTTCAGTCTGATTTCACACGTCTCTCACATTATCAATGTTCTTCAGCCTCAAGCTGCTACGTGTCTTTACATGTGTTTTCCCATCTACTGTCTGTCAGCTTCACTGTTTTTGTCCACTGTTTTTGTAACTGTTTTTGTCATTTCTTACCTCATTCACTTCCTTTTCTACCTCTTGACCTTTGCTTTGACCCATGTGAGGTGTGTGTATGTGTGTGTTTTCTCTCTACCAAGGAAAGGAAGTTTGTCTGTGGTTTCTGATCTCCTCAGCTCCTCAAACTCCAGCAGATCCACCTCCCTTTATTCCATGTCCAACATGTAAGGCACTGGATCTGTGACTAGCTGTACTAATGAATGTGTGTGCGGGTGTACACGTCCTATATGTGCGAGTATGTCCTTGTTCTTGTGATCCTTGGATGAATACAAATCAGTGCAATTGTGCGTATGTGAGTCCCCTGTGGGCATGCATCTGCATGTGTGCATGACATACTGGTTCTTGTCTGTATGTGTTAAATGAGTCTTTCTTCTTTCCCGTGTTTGGTGTCTACCTGTCGACTTTTGCTGATGAAACCGGAGGCTTCTTGTTTGTGACGGTTCCCTTTTTCAGCCTTGTGTTCTCAGTCTTTCGGGAGCCACTTTGATTTTGCCCATTGTGATTTTACTGGAGATTGTTTCTAGCACTTGGAAGGATAGCACACTTGGTTCTTACATGACCTTAAACAACACTACACAAAGGAATGAAGTGATATTTAATTCATGACTTGTCGAGTAAGCTCTGTCAGCTCCTTGAGAGCGCTCTGGTCTTGGCTCAGTGTCAGCATAACAACAACATTCATATCAGATGTGATGAAATAGGAGCACTGGACCTGTAGCTGTCAATCAATCCATCATACATTAGTCATTATTCAGAATTATTGGCATGTGTGGACAGTGTTGCTCAAGCCCTATTTACAACACATAATACAATGCATTAATAAATACGGTATTTATTTTCTCTAATGTCACTCTGTCCACTTCACACATTCTTCTTCATGTGTACTTGTGTGTGTGTGTGTTGTAGTGGTCGTTTGATGCGGGACCGCTCCCAGTCCAGTTTCTCTGTGTCCTATAAAAACATGAAGAAGAGCCCGTCTCTGCAGTCTCTGGATAACATCTCCATTGACAGCTACCTGATGGAGGACGGAGACACTTACAGCCTGCTGGAGAGAGGTGGAGCAAACACACACACACACTTGTTCGCACACAGTATTAATCTGAATTTATCCAGGGTGGACTTACTCAGACATATTTATTAGCAGCTGTCTCTACCAGCCCTCGATTTACCCCTTTGTATCTAATCTTGATTGCTGACCTTCTCACGTAGAGGGGTGATAGAAAACAAAAAATTCCCTGCAGGGATTAAGCAGCAATGATTACCATCGATGTACTTGCAGGCTACAGTTTTGAACAGAAGGTGGCAGCACTGTGCTGGTTCTCTACAAACATACAGGAGCATGTGCAATTATGAAGACAGAAATACATGTGAAAGGAGAAAATTATACATGTGCCCATGTGAGTCAGGTTTGTTTATCTTTATGTACTCTACAGACGATGTGTCCATCTCCGGCTTCAAGGACGCCATCAGCGAACAGAGCGCCACAGAGAGCGCCACTGAGGCAGTAACCGGCCAGGAGCAGGAGGGAGGCGTGTCTCCTGACACTGTCAGCGCAGCATCCCAGAGCATTGACGAGCCCACCAAAGATATAGTAAGATACCAGAACGTTTGTCTAGAAAAGCCGCTTTCTACCATCTGACAAATAAGCAGCATATCTGCAAAAATACAGAAAATGATTCTACTAGACACATCTATACATTTGTTGTTGCAGATCAACTGTTGTTCACGCTTTAAGGGAGCATTAATATGTACAGAGACCACTAAATAATAACGTAAACAATGTTATACTAAGTTAAAATATACACTGTTGCCTATAAGTTGGCATAATTTTTGTTTTCAGACACTTTCCTCTATTTATTTCTGTTTATACACATTATTAGTCACTTTTGACCAGGTGCAGTGATTACATACTGTTACCAGGTGAAAGGTATTCTGACTTCTTCTGAGTGATGAGTGGGACGGTCTGTCCATTGACACCATCAACAAGCTAGTGGACAGTATGCCCCGATGTCTGTGATCTGTGACCTGTGATGATCTGTGTCAGGGGTGGCCATTCTCAATATGATAGAGTGATAGTGGACGTTCTTATGCACGAAAAATTTAAACAAAACCTTTAATCTTATTGTTCAATACCCTCATTTTTGTTTAAGCCTGAATACACAGTTTTCAAAAGTTAATTGTGGTTTAATTTTTTACTGTGATATGTATTGTATGTATATTGTGATATCAATAAAGTTTTGAGGAGATATACACTTTATCTATCAGGAATGAATCACATTGTCAACTTTCCAACTTTATGGGCAACAGCGTACAATCAGAAATGATCAGACTTGTGTGTTTTAAAATCAATAATAAACACCAGCTTGCGCAAACAGAGCAACAGTTCATGCTGCTGACTGTAATTTTCCTTGTTCCTGTGTGCGTTCTTTACCTGCAGGTGTCGGTGCTGGTGCTGAAGGTGCAGTCGGTGTGTGTGGGCATGGAGGTGGTGGGCGAGAGCACGGCCGTGGCTCTGGAGGTGGGCCGGGTCACGCCCAGCCAGCTGGGCAATGTCAGCCTCAGACAGTACCTCAGCAACCGCAGCCTGGGTAAGGAGTGCAAATCTGCATATTTATTTTTCCCCTCAGCCCGAGCATGAAACACAGTGTTGTACATGAGCTCTAATACGATGCATTGTAACGGGCATGTCGGACTCACAGTTGCAGATTTACTGAACATCACAAGTGTTATGTGTCGTACTTAACATTATTTGATATATCTGGTTTACATCAAACTGTTGTGTGAATGTTGTTAGATTATAATACATCATTATTATATTTAACAACATGCTAAAATCAAGAACTAGCCAATCCCATTTAAACCTGTAGACTCATTGACTACATAAAGCAAACCAACCAAAATAGACTTCAGAAGAAGGCTGCAGGCTATTGCTCACATTTAAAATAATGCTTTAAAGATGAAAGTAAAAGGACATTTGTCAAGATTTCAGCAGACAAGCGGTTCAGTGACCAAACAAGAAAGAACAGCAGGACCGAGCTGTGTGCATGAATGTGTGTGTGCGCTTGTGGATTTAGACTAAATCCAACCGCCTTTTGTAGATTTTTTTCAGATGATCTTTTGTGGCATTTTGGCACATCTGACATTACAGAGTGAGAGGAAATGTGAGGAAAGAGACAGGAAGGGCATGTGATAAAGGTCCTGGAACAGACCTGGAGCCAGTTTGTTGCGCTCAAACCACCAGGCTGCTTCATTTACAAACCCTCCTGACATTATTGGTTTTTTTGACTGTTCGAATTGTCACACAAGGCAACATCAGGACATCCCAGTTTCACTCTCAGCAGACACCAGCAAGAACAGGAAGAAGAGATTCAGCACTTTAGGAGAGAGAAAAAAAGACATTCAGTCTGTATCAGAGCTGCAACAACAAATCATTATAATGCAAAAATTAAAGGAATTTACTGGTTCCAGTTTGGTGATTCTCAAATTTAGGTCTTGTGTTGTAGGAAAATTGGATATTTTAGTGTTTAAGTTCAGCCTAATTGTATTGGGATGGTAAATAATCACTGTTTCCTGAAACAATCTGTGAATACATTGGATTTTAACAGGGGTTTTTCAGTCAGTATTGACGATAACTTTATTATCATGTTAATAATACATATGCGATAATATCACAAAGACACCAGTGTCAGTCATGATCTGGTTGACACTCCAACATCGAAACAACAGACAGTACAGTTATGGTTACAGTCTCTCCACCTTCCTACACTTGCCAAAAAATACACAAAACATACAAAAAATAAAGATAATGATAATGTTATGAATTCCCGGGTTTAGATGCCGGATGAGCCCCCACTTTGTTGTAACCAAAGGGTGAAGGGAAGTGACAGTAACAGCTAGGGGGACACTTTAACCAAAGTTACAGTTGTTTTTTTTAATTGAAAATAGGTAATTAAACACAAATACAAATCTCAGAGAGAATTAAAGTTTGAGGATGCTACTCAAATAAATAAAAATAATATAACAAAAGGAGTAATAGTAAAGTGAAGTAACAACGCATGCCTGTTAACAAAATAAAAGCTTGAAAACCAGAACTTTATTTATCCACACTATTCAGTACACAAGAGTAGCACCCCTAACAAATCACATGTAGATTTCACTACAACAAGATTTCTTAAAACTCCAGAAAACTAGTCTGGAAGTCACACAAATTCAACTTCTGGGGTTTCATACGTATCAAACCCAAAGAACTGATTCAGTCTGCTTAAGGATGGGACCTTCTGTGTCCTTATTGGGCCTTCAGTTTAAACCTATGTGGCTGAATTACTCCAGTATTACAGCTGAGCATTGTGTAGCATTGAATAGTTTGATAGTGTTTGATGAGAGTCGTGGGTGAGCTGCTGTGGTCCATCTGCAGCAAACTGGGACGGTTGTGGATTTTATAGATCTGCAACACACTCTATGAAGTTAGGAGAGGAGTTACAGCTAAGAATTGAAAGGTAGGGAGGGATTATATTGGGGAAAAAAAATCTAAATATTCACTTTGATAGGGGTTAAATCAGCCACCTGCGATGGACTTCTTTGTGTACAGACACACACACACACATTTGCACACTAACACAGCCACCCCTTCCTTTTTATTTACCTCCCATAACTCCCCACAGGTATGGTGTGTTCAGTACCAATACCTGCTCAAAGCAGCCAAGGTAACTGCTGTGTGTTAAATCACCATCTGTAACCTAACATGCATGCTTGCCTCAGCGCATCCGTTTCCACCTGGTTGTGTGTGTGTGTATTAATGTATACAGAGTGTGTTTGTGTGTGTGAGTGAGAGAGTGACTTTCTCCCAGTTTGTCTTCTGTCAAATGTCATTCCCAGACTCAGGACTTTGCTCGACAGCATGCACTGCAGATGCACATAGATTCAGTGTGTTGCAACGCATGAAGCGCGTGTGTTTGCTCATTTTTCAGCATCGGGGGGTGTTAATGTGATACAGAGATTTCTCTCCGGAGGCGTGTGTGTGTGTGTGTGTGTGTGTGGGTCTTAACAGAGGCTAGATTTGACAGTAATGGAGTGAGTGGTCCCATTATTTGCAACATTAGGCCCTCAACCTTTCAACGTGTGTGTGTGTGTGTGTGCCAGATTCAAATTAACTGCTACTTCTGTGAAGACGATTTTAACCCCTAATCTTCCCGTTCTCCTCTCTACCTAATTTGCCCTCTCTCGCTCCATCTCTTTCTCTCCCCCACGTTCCTCCCCACCTACCTCATCTCTCCACTGCAGCAGACTTTGCAGTTTCAGTCCAGTGATTCAGGCAATGAGAGAAACGCCAGCTTTACCCCTCGCCACCTCTCCTCCTCCTCCTCCTCCTCCTCCTCCTATCTCACAAGAGCAATCCCACCTCCCCCTCGTCCTCCCTTCTCTTTCCTCTCCACTCTTCCCTCCAGCTCCTACTCCATCTCCCTACTAATCCTCCGTCATTCACCTCCTCCCTCATCACCTTTCCTTTCCTTCATCTCTCTCCCTCTCCAGGCCATCTTTTCTCCTCCCCTCCCTGTCTTATCACAGTCATTCAGTCCTTGGCTGCTGGCTTCCTCCCTCCCTCCTCTCTTACTTTCTCTCTCCTCACCCACTCCTGTCTTTTTCTGTTTTTCCTCCCTCTCTATTTGCCTCGACCCGAGCCGCTCAGGATTGAGAGAATATGTCATTTTATCTGAGAAAAGCTGACAACATTGTGTGTGTGTGTGTGAGTGTTTTTTTTTTGCTGCTCCTGAAATTGCCCTTTGGTATTAACCCTCTCCTGACTTTCCTTCAGAGAGCATATTAAAGGGAAGTGACGCACTTCTCGCTGTCATAATGAGAAGATTTGTTTCTTTAAGTGGCCGTTTCAGTGCCTTGCTGAGTGTTTCTATTGCAACTCATCGTGTCTCTCTCCCTCACTCATTTAGAAACTTGTGCTTGTAATTGTATGCCTGCTAAATGCCTTTTTGTGTGCTAAAGATTCCCTAAAAGCGAAGGTTTTAATTACCGCCTCTTTGGCTTTAACATCTCTCAACCTCATCGCTTCATGTTCTTTTCTCTCTGTCCTCCTCCTTTTTTTTTTTTTTAGCCTCCTTTAAGTCTGTTCTCGACAAACGTTACCGCCACGTTTCCTCAAATTCAGCTCATTCAGCGGCGAAACACTTCTTCTCTGTTCGAACTAGATCAAATTATTCGCCTCACAGCTCAGTGTGGTGGAGTGTCTAATTCATAAAAAGAAGAAGAAATCCTCATTAAAACGGTGCGATCCATTCACTTTGAATCCTCAGTAGTTGAGGTGGGAGTTTCCACTGAACCCTCAAGTCCTCAGAAATAATTAAACATCAGTGCTGTAAAGAGCCGGTGGGACTGCACAAAATCTCCTTCAACCCACCTTTTTCTTAATTCCTTTCCCCCCCACTTCTGTTTCCAGCATACTTTGCTTCTTCTTTGTTTCCAACTCCACTCCTCTTCTCTCTAATACTCTCCTTCCTCTTTTCTTTTCATTCATCGCTCCTGTTAACTTCAAGCGTGTTTAAACCTGACATTAACATGCACCCTTTATTCAGAGAGAGCAAATTTCCATAAAGTCAAGCAGCGAATGCACTCAATATGCCATGTTTTTGACACATTTCAAGGAGCGAGGAATCTCCTTGAGCGACTAGACATATATTTTAAAGTCGCAGTGAAAACGAAGTTCCAGCTCTGGTAGGGTGATGTGTGGTCAAATGAAACAGAATAAAATGCTTTGGATTTGACCGGGTCACTCTAGCAAATATGGTGCAATATGGAGAAGACGGGGGACAAAAATATGGATGTTGTAATATATCGTCTCACCTAGTCTTGCGATACTTTATCAATAAACATGCAGAGGATCTAAAGGTTTACGATTTACCAGATTTGCATCGTGGCACTTATTTCTTTAGTCGCACAGATGTAACATATTGTAGATGAATGTCTTGCAGGATGTCATCGTTATTGCGTTCAGTGGATTGTATCACGAGTTACCAATAATTTGGAGCTCTAGAGGACTCCACCCACATCTCCTGCACTGTTAGCTCATGAGGCTAATTTTATTAGTTTAGGAGAGATTAAGATTTTAATTTTCCTTTTTGGCAAACCAATCAGGTTTGGCATTTGCTTTTAGCAGACAGAAACAGTAGAGACAGAGAGGAAACGTTGGAAAATAGAGCAAAAAAAACCAAACAAAAAAGGCATGCAGCAAACATCTGGCCAGCCAGGGGAATCGAACCGGGGACTCGCTGTTAATGGTCGTCTTTCCGAATAATCTGAAGTGCAGATGAGTCTTAGAAAAAAATTGAAATAGAAGAAGAGAGGGGTTTGGGTACTGATATGCTCAAAACTTTTTGACATCTTTTTCTATATATGCCAAACAGACAAGCACCATATCTTGGGAGCTAATAGTGATATCCATATTTAGGAGTTTAAAAAAACAACTTTAGATCCCTTGTATTTTTTTGTATTTGTGACCAGTTTACTCACTAAACAGGACTTTGTAGCTTGTCAGTGCGCTATATGTTTGTGACAATATTACTAAATTACGTCAGACCAGTGTCAAGATTCCCGTTTTTCATTTTTATGTACTTTATTGTCCCACATAAGCTAATATCAGCTGATATTTTTGGCTTCCGAGATTATGGGTCTCGTTCTAATGCCAACAAATAAACACAGGGACACAGAATCAGAACTTGGAAAATATATTATTCATTTCACTGTGTCTTTAAAACACAGTTTCAGTCAGATAGAATAATCACAAAGTGAACCAGATGTATTGGACAAGTAGTGGTGGAGATGCTACTTGTCACATTTCCAAGTTTGTGAATTGTCGTTCTAAAAAGAGAGAAATCCTTCTTCTTGCTGGGTGTATTTTAATGTCAGGTCTAAGTGTCTGCCAGCTATAATCATCTCTCCAGTCACTGAAGCTAACGTTCATGCTAACAGCAGCTTCTGTCTCCTCTTTTTTAGCTGGTGGAGAGAACAGCTCTGGTTCCATCCTGGGCCTCCACAGTCCGGAGGTGCGGGCTCGCCTGGAGAGCGGGCCCTGCGCCGCCGCCCACTCCCCGCTGGCCGAACGCAACGGCTTCCTGCAGCTGCAGCTCCACGGATACCAGGCGAGCTTCATGATGTCCACGCTGCGCAACCTTGCCCTGTTCCTGGAGGACGACTCTGCCCCGCAGGTTCTGCCCATGGAGATCAGTGTCAGGGACACGCACGTCAATTTAAAGGTGAAAAACCCCACTTTGCTTTCACACTGTGGTGTTTAGTGTTCCAGCTCCTTGCATTCAAAGGTGGAAAGTTTGTGTTATACCCTGAGGTTGTTGTTGCAGAACGCTACCTGCAACATTTCAGCAGAATATTTGTCTTACTGTTTCAAATCCAGTTACGGTAATAGACCCCATAACTCACTGCCATACTCCGCAGCAGCATCTGTAGCCACGTTAAATACTTTGAACCATGGCCTAATTGGAATTTGGATTTGAACTGAAAGTTTAATGACACAGAAAAGACCTTTCTGCTTTCTCTCTTCGGTTCCTTCACTGGTGAGTAGACTTGCTGTGGAACTGATGTGGATTATTTCTCTCTTCATGCCGCCAACACACAAACACGGTCACAAAACATCGCAAAACTAAACACGCGTCGTCTCTCCCGCAGGACGACGGCCCCCGTGACAATCCCTCTGACTCCGAGCCGTCGCCCATCACCCTCCACGTGGACAGCCTCGTCATACACAGAAGAGACGACGGGTCTTTCTCTATAGGAGGTGACAAACGAGTGCACATTTTCATCTGCCAGATATTCCCACCTCCACTCCAGCGCTGATTCACCGCAGTTATATAAGATGTCCTATTAAATGCTTTTTAAGTCCACGCTCGGATACATCCACACATCCAATCTCCCCCCTCTCTTCCGTCTCTTCCTCCTCACAGTGGACGGAGCAGCAGAGGCCAAACCCAAGAAAGCGGGTTCATTGATTGACAGCTCTCTGAGTCCGGTCCCTGAGACTGTGGGCAGCATCTGCGGCGTATCGAAGGCTACGCAGACTCCAGCCCCGCCTGCCACCCCCCCTCCATCCACCAAGGAAAAGGTGAGACACGCAACGAATGCAATTGTGCTGCAGCAATAAAAGGTAGTAGAGAGCATAGAGGCAAGAAAATCCCGCCCACCGCATCTGCAGGCTTTAAGTTGAATGCAACCACACATTTTTTTTTTTCCCTCTCTCCTCCTCTTGTCTTTCCCGCCTACAAACAGTGGTGAACAAGAAGGTGCTTTATTTCTGATTGATCGTTCTGGAGGCTGATCTAAAAGCATGCGGTGCCAAATTTCGGTTTTGCCAAGCTATTCCACTTCTTTGTTTGGCTTCCATTTCATTTACAGTGGGTGTGATATTTATCAATTTATGCAGAATACAAGTATTACATTTTCAAATGGAACACTGAAAGCAAACAGTTACATAAGGCTATAGACCAGCACGTCCTGCAACCTAAATAATAATAGAACAAGTTTCACTGGTTCCAAAGTGACCAATATAAACCAACGACTGTGGAGAAAACTACTCATATGATCAGTTTGCAATCAGAAATTCTTTCTCAGTTAAGATCTGTTGGTTTTAATCACGGAAAGACTGTGGGCACAGTTGAAACAGGCAAATGTGAACCAAGATCTCACAGCTTTCTGATCACCTGCTTCAGGGGTTTTACTCTGGATTATAATTGACAACAGAGCTGAAACTGTCAGTCAATCAATTGATAATATCACAGAAGATTACCTGTTTCGATTTTACAAATATTTTTTGATGTAGCGATTATTTGTGACAGCCATTAATTAAGCAAAAATGCTAAATTATCCCTGATTCCAGTTTTGCAAATGTAACACTTCCCTCTCTTTTTTTAAATATTACGTTTAGGTAAATATCTTAAATTTCTGGCGTGTTGGTTAAAACACAGAACCCAAGCAAATAAAAGACACTATTGTGGGCTCTGAGATTTTTTCCCCCTTTACTTTTAATCACATTATAGATGATCAATCAAGAAAATAATCGTCTTGATGAATAAACTGAAAATGATCATTAATTGCGGCTCTAATTTACATAAGAAGTCTTCTGACAGTATCATGTAAACAGAGGCTGTTTTTAGTGTAATTCTTGTGGACAGACTATTTAAAACAAGCCTCCTTTTACTGAAAAGGTTTTGGATTCCAGTTCAGTCACATGAACTTTATTTTATTTTTGATTTATTGAGATAAAAGTTCTTTGGAAAGAGGAGTTTCACACAACAGAATACAATGTTTTTCCAAGTGCCTGTAGGTGTTAATAATATTAGGGGGGAATAAGATGAAGATTATAGGAAACTGATAAAGACAGATGTGTAATTTTCCTTTAATTTTGGCAGTTTAAAAAAAAAAATATATATAACATGCATTTCAAACTGTTGTCACCTCAGTGCGTCTTGGAGCCTTGACTTTACTGTTAGCATTTGTGGTTACAATCTCAACCAAAACATGTGAAAGTCCATGAAACGTTTTCACCGAACTGTTTCATAAAACATGATTTTATTTTTTTTTGCATTTTATTCTTTCCAATGCGGCCTCTCTGACTCCCCTCTTTGGCCTTTTTTTAACCGTTTGCCTCCAGATGCTGATGGAGGAGAATGAATGTCTGAAGGTGGAGCTGTCCAGAGCCAAGATGGCGCTGGCCGAGGCTCAGATGGAGAAGGACTCGCTGCTTCACCGCATGAAGAACCTCAAAGTCGCCACCAGCTAGAAACCAGCCCTCTGTCTTCGCACCCTGTCGGTCACCCAGTGGGTCGGCGGTGACGAGCAGCATCAACGAGTAAAGACAAACAGGAACTTCTTACCGCGCGTGGCTCCCTTTTCGTTTGATGGGCGAGCCGCCGCGCGACTTCAGACTTCGAAACAAAGCAATGCAGAGTCTCCGTGAAGACTCAGAAAAATACACGTTTTTTTACACGCTTGTTGTCTGTTCTGCGCTCTCCACGTTGGACTGTGGAGGCTTGATGCATTTGGAGAAACATTTAGCGGGACTGTGTGAAAGAAAGAGATCTATGTTCTTGGTTGTGCCTACAGAAAACCATTCCCACATTATTCCCCTAGTCTAACTTATAATAATAATAAAAAGAAAAACATCACGGCTTGTCTTGGATGAGCTGCGTTCAAACCCGTAGGTATGAGGAAACACTGAATGTCATATCTTCAGAGGAATGTCTCAAAAAATAACAGTCTTATTTTGCACTGCACTTAAATTCAATTTGTAATTTTAGTGCTTTCATATTCAGAGGAGGGCGAGACGAATCATGCTCCTGCTCGTCCTCAGAGCGTGTACAGTGTATATTGTACAAGAATGTGAACACATAACTATTTTCTACAGAACTACGAATGGTTATGCAGTGTTTCAGTTGAATGTGTGTGTGTGTGTGTTTGTGTGTCTCAGTCAGAACAAGCATTTCGTTACAAGTAGAGGATGAATTTCTAGCTGTCAGTTCCACGGCTTTGTCAGCAAAATGCTCCACCCTAGTCTCTGCCCCCAACCTCCCCTCCACCCCAAACTCCTTCTCTCTCCTATTTTTCTATGTGTAAATAGCTACTTAACATGTGCTGCACTTTTAAAAACAGAGGCACTGTAAATAGAACAACTAGAACTGTGAGCGAACAGAGCAGAGAGCAATTTAGGAAAAAAAGAAAAAAAGCAATTTGTGTGCTCCCGTCTTAAAGAAATAACAGGAGTAGGAAAATAAGGGCGCATTGAAGCTGCCCGACTACATGTAAGTGTGTGTTTGTCTTTATGTAAATTTCTAATCTGCCATGTAATGTAATTTTTTTCATGGACATGCAATGACCATATCTGCTGCTGTTCCATGCTTCGTGCCGGTGTGACGACTTGAGGGGAAATCTCACCTCCCCTCCACTAGATTTTCAAAAACAATTAGAATCGACTGACTTTTCTAACAGCACATGCTTTTGGCACAGCACAAAGGCCCACACGGAGTAGTTTTACTTCTCACACGAAAACAACAGCTCCAGAAACGTTAATGGAACTACATATGCAACTGTCTTAACCTGTGCTCTAGCTTGGCCCACGTCATTTCAGAGTCCATTAAAAATACGAGTTGTTCTGGTTCACGTCAAAAGCCGTGAACTGGTTCTCTGCACAAACGTGGGATTCAGGCTTGACGTGTAAGAACACAATCGTATGTGAAGACTTGTGTGTGTGTTAGGGAGGACTTTTTTTGTTTTGTTTTTTTAAAAATCTGTGTTTCCTCCATTCATCCCAGGCCTCCTCTTATGTTTTTTTTGGGGAAACTCCACCCTCTGAAAAGGAAGAAACATATACACAAAAAATAATAATAAGTTGTATTTTGTCTGTCAAAGCTGCTGAAATCATGATGAAAATAAAAAGGTATCAAGTTTAAAAGGTTTCTGCTTTTTGTAAGTTTCTGGTGTGAATTTATTTGCAGAAAACCACTTTTCCCCTCCAATCTGGAGAACAGGTTTTTAAACTTGTTAACGTATCCATATGAAGACAATTAATGAGCGAAACAAGCAGTCAACATCATGGCTGGTTTTTCCACACTCCGTTTTAGATCATAAAATAAATACATGAAAAACTAAGAGTAGCCTCCGACCTGAGATGTGAAGCCAATGCGGAGGTGCCATAAAGCTGCATTATTTCGAACAGCCAGCAGGGGGCGACTCCTCTGGTCGCCATAAAATAAGTCAGATTGAACAGAAGTCTATGAGGTAGTGGCTCTACTTCTCACTTGATTTATTGCCTTGGGGAGCGTTCTCCTAACGAGATTATGGTCTCGATCATTCGTTCCAAGACATTTTGACTACAGCATGATGTTCATTTTATAAATTATGGTCCCATTTAGAAAAAAAAACAACTTTGAAAGTCAGTGGTTTGTTTGTCCATTCTGAGCTACTGTAGAAAGATGGCTCATCTGAAGTCATAAAAAGCAGACCAGTTCTTATTTTCTGGTGGTTATACATTAATGAAAACATAATTATGAATATTGTATTCAATTTCTGCTCCTTTCAACTTTAGCATTTGAAAACTTTTGCTTACAAAGCTTCATTTTTCTAATTAAGTTGATAAAAAAAACCCCACTTCAACAGCTGTACAGAAACTCTGGCATTAATGTGGTAGAGGATCTAAAAACTTTAATGACTATGTGGGAGTATTTTTTAGCACTGAACCCTTATAACAATGTTGACGTGATGAAAAAAAAAAAAGTCAGTATCAAACAGTAGAAGTGGGCCTATCATGGTGCTTAATTCCACAACTTCTCCCTTTCCCCAAAACCTGATGCCTACAATACCCACAAGACAACACTACAATGTTTTTTTTTCCTTCCCCTCCAAACAATTATCACTTCTCTCCCTCTTCAGATACCAAACTTTACACATTTTCCCCCCCACATGTGCTTTATTTGTGTGAATCAGGTCCCTGTTTATCTTCACTTCACATCACAAAGTTGAGATTTCAACAAAACCCGATGGTGAAGATAAATGAATACATTCAAAAGTCGGTCCAAAAAGGCCCCATGAGGAAATCCCACACGACAAGATTTTGAGTAAATGTATATTCAACGCATTTTCATCTGCAGCGTAAATGAAACCCATCAAAATCACATTTAACCAGCAGGGCGAACACACGGCTCGACTCTCTGCTTTAAATCTGATTGTCGCATTTATATTCATTAAAACTGAGCTGCAGAAGCACAAGTATTTGTCCTCGTGGATCTCCTGTTCACTTATGTCTGCATTTCCAGGTTCAGATTTGTTACAACTGCACAGATTGGGTGCAAAAGTTCAAGCAAAAGCACCAAGTTTCCGATTCAGTGCATAAATAAAAACCCTGCGCGATTTACAGCGCAGGTGTTTGGCATATGGCACGACTTAATCTCATGCAGCATTTGTACATTTAATAGAAATACTGTTGGAGCTCATCCTGTGATACGCAGAGAGGAACTCTTTAAATATAAGTGAGGCCACTTTGTGAGCTCAAACGAGCTGCAGTGAACCGCTGCAGCAGAGTGTTTGGATTTTGTGCACATAAATGGTCATGACATTTTACAGCTGGAGCAGCGCAGTGAGTCATAGAAGGACATTTAGTGCTGGTGTGTGTGTTAGAGAGGAAAGTTCTGCTGTTTACATACTGCTGCTTAATGTTTCTCTGATGATGTCTGCGTCACAGTGCAGCCCCGTTTATGTAAGCAAAGCGTGCACATGTTCATTCATATACTGTGTGTGTGAGCAGGAGAGTCGGGGGGGGGGGGGATAGGAGGGTCTGCCTGCATCGTGCACAGCTGGATCGTGGGAAATATGATAAAAGACGGAGGCATCAGGTTGTGTCTTGGCTCGGTGCAAAGTGCAGAATGTGCATCAAACACTCAGTAAGGCTTCAGCTGAAGGTTTCCTCCACTGGTTTGATTTCTGTTGGAGCCCCACTGCAGTCATGTGATATCTTAATTTTAATCAGAGTACAAATTTAACAGAAAAACTGGCTTCTCAAAGGAAAATTACAGTATTATGGATAAAAAGAAAAACATAAACAAGTTATAATTTATCAAGAGAAATACCAATTATTTGCTGGTTTTAGCTTCTCATTTTATATCAGCGTCAAATAAAGTTTTCAAAAAAAAGTTTTTTTTTTCATAACTGATGGCGAATACACATATGCTGCATTTTTACAGTTTGACAGATTTTGTCTGTTTTTTTTAAATACATAAAAATGGCAACAAAATTACAACAATTCTGAATTTATGTCTAACGTAATTAAAAACCAATAACTGTGACTAACCATAAGATTTTTTATTTTTAAAAGAAACGTTTTATTTTACAACAAACACCGTCAAAAAACACTGACAAAATTAGCATAATTTCACACTTATTTCATTATTTTTATTTAACAGATGAAACCACTGAATTCAAACAAAATCTATATTATTGTTATATATATTATATTTATTTCCACTGTTTTGATACGTGTAAATATCCTTAAATAAACACTAAAATGGCGCAAAAACTACTGTATTTTATGAAAAGGCTATTTTCATTATTTTAACTTAAGTTTTTTGATGCCCCAACTCCCATAATAGATTTAGTTTTGGTTTTCAGTCATGCTAGCAACATGCCTCGAGGGAAATCAATGCCAGTCTGTTGATTTCTATGAAAATGTGCACAGACATTCACATCATAATGACTTCGGTGATCCTCCGACTTATATTCTGGCAACACCATGAAGCCAAAAGCGTCAAGATCTTTGGTGTAAAAACCCGCAGAACTGACATCCGCCCCAGCTGTACCTTCAGCTCTAAATAGTAAACTAGTGCCAATTTTATATGGTTGTTTTAAGAGAACTGCAAGTTAGCATGGTGGGGTGTGATGGGCATTTTTATTATTATTATTGGCATTTATCCACCTAAAGATGAGTGGAATATATAACCCATAGCTTGACAGTCACAGCCTCGATTCCCGCCCTACAAGCTGATCGTGCAGGTGTAGGCTTGACCCACATCTCGTCCAACAGCATCACATAATCAACATGTAGGAGTGATGGCGCTACTCGTCCGCACTGACACCAACATCAGTATTCTGAGTGGACAAAGAGGTTATTGTTATAGATTTTTTTTAAACATTCCTGCAGAAACCTGATTTCACAAGTGACCTGATTTTGTATCAACAAGTGACCTGCAGGACTTTAATCCAAAAAGCACCACAGCCAGAGGCACGAGCAGCAACCAGACACAAGCTGCGAGTGTGTGGAAAACTCCAACCGCTTACTTTCAGGTGCTTTAAATACACAAACAAGTAACAAATAAAATGAAACATCAAAATTGAAAATAATGTTGAGCTATGTCTCACAATCACAGTTCTCCTTCAAATTTCAACGATGAAAACAACATGAAATAACATATTTTGCTTCATAGTTTACAAATTAAATCACTGTTTTATCACTAAAACTTTCAAAAGATTAATCAAAAATGAAATAACCATTATTTACAGCAGTTTATTTATTAAAAGCAAAGGTGTCTTCTTTTTATTCAGCTCCTGAAGCTTAAGTTTTGTTTGTTATGTGCTCTTAGTGTTGTTAAAATAGCGCAATAATTAATTAATCTAGAGAATC